TCTTGTAATTATCTTTCCAACACCGCCGAGTTTGCGCGATTTTGAGTTCGTATAAGTGAGATATGCCCATTTGAAGTTGGGTTGTCTAGATAAGGAAAGTTAAAACCGGATTTTAGAAGGGTATTATGGTCTTTTCACTACCCAATTAAATTAATTCATTTTTGGTAATTACATAGGGGTCTAAACTGAATTCGGTCAGTTTACGCACTCAAAGATTTCACGATAGGGTTATTAGAGAAAGAACCGCAAGAGGAGAAAAGAGGAGAAAGAGCCAAAGTTCATCGTTCTTGAGGTTTTGCTTGAGGATCCCGCCAACGGTTAATCCCTACAAGGTATGTGAGATCACATAGCATTGGGTTAGTTCACCCACGCGCCAACCATGATTTATTTCAGCGAATTTATAATCTTGAAGGTTTAGAAATTGAGTTCTTGATAGATTTGTTTAAAGTTTCTATTGGGTTCTTGATTGTTGGAGTTGTTGAGGAGTTCTTGATTTTAATTCATGAAATTAGGTGTCGTTTTGAGTAGATTCTTGCATATTTTGATTATGTACTCGAATCTAAGTGTTTGGGGAAAGACTTAATTGAATCTAGAGGGTTTAGAGTTGAAAAACAACCAAGGAAATTCGTCAAAAACTGGGGAAAAGAGGGTGGGGCGCTATGCCACTCAGAGCGCCCCACATAAGTTTAAGTATGAAGGGATCTGGGGCGCCGTGCCAACTAGTGCGCCCCAACCCCAGTTTTGTTGTTCAGCCTCTAGCACTCAGTGCCACTCAGAGCGCCAGGGACGCTAGGTCTTCTACCCTTTCCTACTTCTTTCCGTACTAGTTCCCCTGAAACATATCTATGTTTCCTTGTTGAATTCTACACTCTAAGGTACGTCTAAACAACATGAAATCATCAATAACATGAGATCATGCGCCTTGAATCCATAATTCAATTCAAGGAAAGTTAAGAGTCAAGTCAAGAGAAGTGAATAAAGTTTTCCAAATGTCTTTTACAAACGCTTTAACTTTGTTTTAAGACTTGAGTTTTGAGTTGAGTAAAGAGTGCAAGTGGAAGTTCATTTCTTCAAAAGAGTATATCCAGACTATGTATTCTCAAAGAGTAAAATGTTTTCACATTTAAACAAAAGAGGAAACTTTGATTTCCAAAAGAGCCTTTGAGCTAGTTTTTCAGTAAAGAGTAAAATGCTTTCACAATTAAGCAAGAGAGGAAACTTTGATTTCCAAGAAGAGCCTTTGAGCTAAGTTTTGAGCAATTATATCAAACCACAGAAAGAAGTTTTGTTTTTATAAAAAGAGCTAGTATTATATTTTGGGAGTAGTATTGAGCACCGATATGGGAGAGAGTTCAGAAAACTCCCAGTCACCATGGGTAGAAAAGGGTCATACTTTTTAGATGATTCCTTAGTGCTTTTTAGCATAGACTAGTGGATCCACTTAGTAGTCAGGTTCTATACTCTCGGCAAGGTATAGGACGGCCTGGCAGTATGAGGCAAAATGATCTATCATCATAATAGCTCTTAAGTGATGGTTGTCGGTTATAGAAACTCCCACAATAGTATTTTGTATTCTTATATACATAGAAGTAAATTGTATTTTTATATACATTTCAGAGTTCATATTGTATCTTTGCATACAAACAGAGTCACTATTGTATTTTTCAATACACAGAGTTGATATCCATGTTTTAGAAAGCTTTTCTTTATATTGCATTTACAATATTGCTTTATATTGAATTGAGTTGAGTTGAATCCATATATGTTCCTTCAGTTCCTTTCAAGCTTATGTCTTGTTTTAGTATTCCCCTCGTATGCTCGTACATTCAATGTACTGATGACATTTGGCCTGCATCATTGTTATGATGCAGATACAGGTAACCAGGATAGCATCTAGTGCATCGTTGACTCTAGTTGAGCTTCTGAGTTGTTGGTGAGCCTCCTTGCTTTTGAAGGATCCCTTTTATTGCTTTCAGTATGTTTAGTTTATTAGGATGTCGTGGGTCTTGCCGCGATATCCATCTCAGTTTTAGAGGTTTCATAGATAGATAGTCAAATGTTAGTTCTTTAGTCTTTTCATTCTATTATGTTGAGACTTGAGTTGCCACTTTGGCCAGTGAATGTTATTTTAATACATTCTCAGTTATCTTTGAGCTTTCAGATTACTTTTAAAGGTACAATTATGTTGAGTTAAATCTTCCGCTAAGTAAGTAAGCCAGGCCAAAGGTTCTCTTAAGACCAATAATGGTTCTCGAGTACCAGTCCCTCCCAGGGTGTAAGCTCGGGGCGTGACACAAACTGCAAATACGATTACAATGACAATCAACTAAATGAACAAGATGATAATAATAATGAGGACCTGAATAAGAAATATGCAAGTAAGAAATAGATGCGTAAAATATCTCATCATATCTAAATATTTTTATAGTGTTTATGGCATAACCTTTTGTTATTTTTGTGATCAAGTTATTTTAAGGAGTGTTCTCAGCCAAACGAGAACAAAAAAGGAAGAAGCTCACTGGTAAACTAGAGTTATAGAGCCATCGCATGTCAAATTTTCGTTCCAAAATAGGCGTACCTCAAATAATGGCATATAATACTTGTACTCCCTCTATTTAACAATATCTGATGTTTTTAGTTTGAGTAGACTCCTTAAGAACACTACTTACTCTAAGAAAGCAAAAAGTGTTCTTCATTACAAACTTTTAATCAAATGTCTTAAAAAAATATCTCTTTAATGGTTTGTTGTTTATGTAAAATTCATTATTTTAATAAAGATAAATTTGGAAGAAAATTTTCAATTTTTTATTAATGTGTGAAAAACTACATATCTTAAAAGAAAAAAAAAAGATAAAAATAACTTATTTTGAAATGGAGGTGATAATATTTCTTGTCTGCATTTATTAAAAATTTAATGTCGAACAATAATTTCTACGCTTGGTATAATTTCTTGTTGTCGTATGTCAAAATATTTGAGACAATTATAATTCTGTTGACTACAATAACTGCATACGCCAAAATATTTGAGACAGTTATAATTTTCTTGACTACAATAACTGCATTCACACTTGAGCGATCAGTTTTCTACGATTAATTAATATGTATTCACTTTTTTTTAAATCATTGTTTAGGGAAATTAATGTAGTTTGTTGTGAGTCAAGATTATTATTACTGTAATTAATTGACTAAATAATTTAATTTGGAACTAGCCTACGAGTCCTTTTACTATTTTGTGCATTCAAACTATTATTACCTTGGAGAACCAAAGTAAACGAGATGAGAAATCATCACTTATACTAACATGTTGCACTGTTTAAGGGTTTTGGATGATCAATGGACAGAATTATGAATTCGGCTAATAAGAATTCTTCAAATGATCGAAAATGATCCTTCCTCATTTAGATTCCCACTTGGCCAGGTCAAAATTCTAGATTTTTATTATCCTTTAATTTTTTTCAAGTTTTCTATGTTCCATTTATATGTTTGCAAATCTAATGAATGCTTGTTAGGAATTTGTGTGTTTTTTTTAGTTTCTAGTCTTCTAGAAAAGAAACAAGAAAGAGTTACACTTAATTTCTAATTAATCGATCAGTTAATCTTGCTAAAATCTCCTTGTCTTTAACAGATTTTATTTTTTGAATTCGCTAATAAGAATTCTTTGGTGACCTGAAATGATCCTGTGTTTGTTTCTTCTTCATCTAGACTCCAGCTCAGTTAGGTAATATTACAAATATTTTTAAAAAGATTTATTTAGAAGTTTTCTGTGTGTCAGGCGTCTATGGAAGTTTGAATCTGCTCCATTTTTCAGTTAATCTCGCTAATGTTATTATCAAGGGTTGTTGTAAGATGGTTAAGATTCTTCTACTCTTGATTAAAATGTCTATTCCGAGTCCTAAAAATTTAGAAATTCCATATAGGGAGGTCCTATTTTGATATGTTAATTATATCTTACAAACATTTTACCATTTGTATATATCAGTCAAGTAGCATATTGAAGATGTTGAAAGTTTAGTCGTAGTTTTCTGTTGGCAGTTGTCCTAGCCTTTAGGAGTTTTAATTCTTTTTAATTGCAGCAGTTTGCAGGTTGTTTTGATTTTTAGGAATTAGTGGAGTAAAGAGCTATGTTTGCTTTAGGAGTCATGTGCTCTATTTATTTTGGAGTAAGTTGATAATAGGACTGATATGTGTCCTGTTTAAATGGATTATCTGTTAAGTATTTGCCTATATATAGACTTGAAGTTATGAATAAAACGACTAAGTTCTCCAGCAAATTCTTTTCTCTTCTTACGTATTCTTTGTTTTTCTCCTTCTAAATTCTCTACCAGTGGTATCAGCGCCAGGTTATCCTGAGAGTGACAACAAGTGAGGCAGCCATATATTTCTTTTCAGATTATCTCATGGCTACTGGAAATAATTTTGTGCAAGCAGCAATTCCTCGCTTTGATGGTCACTATGACCATTGGAGCATGTTGATGGAAAACTTCTTACGGTCAAAAGAGTATTGGCCAATCATTCAGGACGGCATTGGCACTCCGATGGAAGGTGAAGTTTTGACAAATGCTCAAAAGGCAGAGTTGGAAGCGAAAAGGCTAAAAGATCTGAAAGCAAAGAATTATCTCTTTCAGGCAATTGATCGTCCCATCTTGGAAACTATTCTTTGCAAAGAAACTTCCAAGGATATTTGGGATTCCATGAAGAAGAAGTATCAAGGCTCAAGCAGGGTGAAGCGCGCACAGCTTCAAGCTTTGAGAAAGGATTTTGAAACACTGGAGATGAAGGAAGGAGAATTTGTCACAAACTATTGTGCTAGAACCATGGAAATAACCAATAAGATGTGACTCCACGGTGAGAAGATAAATGATGTAGCCATTGTGGAGAAAATTTTACGATCTCTTACATCAAAATACAATTATGTTGTCTGCTCAATCGAAGAATTAAAGGATATAGATGAACTATCTCTTGATGAACTACAAAGTTCTTTACTAGTTCATGAACAGAAGATGAACAGAAGTTCTAGAGCACAGGAGCATGCATTGAAGGCTTCTACTAATACTTATTCCAACAACTATAGAGGAAGAGGTAGAGGTAGAGGCCGAGGAAGAGGAAGAGGAGATCGTGGAGAAAGAGATTTCAGTAGAAATTTCAAAACCAACACTGATCAGTCTCAAGGCAGAGGTCGAAACCATGACAAATCCAAGGTAGAATGTTACAGATGTCACAAATTTGGTCACTATGCATCATATTGTTACACTAGACTACCAATTTTGTCGAAAATAAGGAAGTAGAAACATTGTTAATGGCTGTCCATGCTAGAACAGAACATGAATCTGATATTTGGTATGTAGATACTGGATGCAGTAATCAGATGTGCGGAAGCAAATTTTCTTTTTCATCTTTGGATGAAAAGTTTCGTTCTACTGTGGCTTTTGGTGATTGTTCAACTGTAGAAGTGATGGGGAAAGGTGACATCAAGATTAAAACCAAGAATGGTTTTGTGGAAACAATTTCTAATGTGTTGTATGTTCCTGACTTGAAAAGTAATTTACTTAGTGCTGATCAGTTGCAAGAAAAAGGTTATGTCATCACTATCAAGAAGGGAGAGTGTGAAATTTATGATCCTGAGAGAGGAGCTATTGCACTAGTTCAAATGAGCTCCAACAGATTGTTTCCACTGAGGATTGATAACATTCAATCTTGTTTGATGGCTGAAGTAAAGGATTCATCATGGCTGTGGCACTTCTGATATGGTCACTTGAGTTTTGGAGGCTTGAAGATACTCCAACAGAAAAACATGGTCAGTGGTCTTCCTCAAATTACAGCACCTTCCAAAATTTGTGAAGAATGTGTTGTTGGCAAACAATCTCGCTCTCAATTTCCCAAAGGAAAGTCATGGAGAGCAAAGGATGTTCTGGAGCTGGTACATTCAGATCTTTGTGGTCCGATAAACCCAACGTCTAATGGAGGTAAACGGTATTTAATCACTTTTACAGATGATTTTTCAAGAAAAACATGGGTTTATTTTATGGAAGAAAAATCTGAAGTTTTTTCAACATTTAAAAGCTTCAAAGTACGTGTGGAAAATGAAGCAGGAAAAACCATTAAGGCTCTCCGAACTGATCGTGGTGGTGAATATTGCTCAAAAGAATTTGAAGTATTATGTGCAGATCATGACATTCAGAGAGAGCTTACAGCTGCATATACACCACAACAAAATGATGTGTCAAAAAGGAAGAACAGAACCATCCTCAACATGGTGAGAAGTATGTTATTGAGAGGAAGCATTCAAAAAACTTTCTGGCCAGAGTCAGTGAATTGGAGTGTTCATATTTTAAACAGAAGCCCAACTTTTTCTGTTAAAAATATGACACCGGAGGAGGCATGGAATGGGAGAAAACCAACAGTAGATCATTTTAGAATTTTTGGATGCATTGCATATGCCCATGTGCCGGATGAAAGAAGGAAGAAACTTGACAATAAAGCTGAAAAATGTGTCTTTCTTGGTGTAAGTGAGTCTTCCAAAGAATATAAGTTGTTTAATCCGTTGACTAAGAAGATTGTTATTAGCAGGGATGTTACTTTTGATGAGGAAAACACTTGGGAATGGAATAGGCAGCAACCTGCTTCCCAAATCCTCTGTGACAGTGACGCAGAACAAGAGCAATTTTCAACACCTTGTATGTTTGAAAATTTATCAGATTCAGCCCCTATAACTCCACCACCAGATGCTGTAGCAAATGAAGAAACAACTCAAACTCTTGGGCATGTTAGAAGAAGGCTTGTTTGGATGAAGGATTACAAGGTAACTGGAATTGAAGATCCAATTACTCACTTTGCTTTGTTTTCAGATTGCGATCCTACATGTTTTAAGAGTGCTGTAAAGGAAGAAAATTGGAGAAAAGTAATGGATGATGAAATTGATGCCATCAAACGAAATGATACTTGGGAGTTGTCTGATCTTCCAAAGGGACAGAAAACCATTGGACTGAAGTGGGTGTTCAAAACAAAGTTGAAGGAAAATGGCGAAGTTGATAGGTACAAGGAACGTTTAGTGGCAAAGGGGTATAAGCAACAATATGAGATCGACTATACAGAAGTATTTTCTCCTGTTGCTAGGCATGATACAATCAGATTGGTTATCGCATTGGCAGCTCAGAATTCTTGGCCTATTTTCCAGCTAGATGTCAAGTCGGCATTCTTACATGGACACTTGGAGGAACAGGTATTTGTTGAACAACCCCCTGGTTATGTTGAAATTGGCAATGAGCATAAGGTTTATAGATTAAAAAAGACCCTCTATGGTCTAAAACAAGCTCCTCGAGCTTGGTATAGTCGCATTGAGGGCTATTTTCTAAAAGTTGGTTTTTCGAAATGTCCTTATGAGCATACACTTTTTGTTAAGATTGGGGATGAAGGAAAAATGCTCATTATCTGCTTGTATGTTGATGATCTCATTTTTACTGGAAATTGTGGTGCCATGTTTGAGGAATTCAAGAAGTCAATGATGGATGAGTTTGAAATGTCCGACCTCGGATTGATGCATTACTTTCTTGGTATAGAGGTAGTGCAATCTGGGAAAGGAATCTTCATTCCTCAGAAGAAGTATATAAAGGAAATTCTAGAAAGATTTCAGATGATGGATTGCAATCCAGTTAACACTCATGTTGAACTTGGTTTGAAGCTACACAAAGATCCTACTGGAAAGAAAGTTGACAACACACTTTACAAACAAATCGTAGGCAGTTTGATGTATCTCACTGCTACAAGGCCTGACATAATGTACTCTGTGAGTTTAATCAGAAGGTACATGGAGAATCCCACAGAAATGCACTTGCTGGCAGGCAAGAGAATTCTCCGTTACTTGCAAGGAACGAGAGACTTTGGACTAGTTTATAAGAAGAGTGAAAAGTCCAATCTTCTTAGGTATACGGACAGTGATTATGCTAGTGATCGCGATGACAGGAAAAGCACTTCAGGCTATGCTTTTATGTTCGGGTCTGGTGCTATTTCATGGTCGGCTAAGAAGCAACCAATTGTCACTTTGTCTACTACAGAAGCAGAGTTTGTTGCTGCGACTGCTTGTGCTTGTCAAGCTATTTGGTTGAGGAGACTTTTGGAGGAGTTAAAATTCAAGCAAGCAGAAGCCACTAAGATTTTTTGTGACAATGATTCAGCAATTCAGCTATCCAAGAATCCGGTGCTACATGGAAGAAGCAAGCACATTGATGTGAAGTTTTATTTCTTAAGAGATCTTAGCAATAATGGAACAATTGATCTGATTTACTGCAGGAGCGAAGATCAAGTTGCCGATATTTTCACCAAGGCTTTGAAGACAGAGTCATTCATGAAACTTAGAAGGCTGCTAGGTGTATGTACAATCAAAGACGTAAACTGACTGTTAGCAAACATCAGTTTAAGGGGGGACTGTTGAAAGTTTAGTCGTAGTTTTCTGTTGGCAATTGACCTAGTCTTTAGGAGTTTTAATTCTTTTTAATTGCAGCAGTTTGCAGGTTGTTTTGATTTTTAGGAATTAGTGGAGTAAAGAGTATGCTTGCTTTAGGAGTCATGTGCTCTATTTATTTTGGAGTAAGTTGATAATAGGACTGATATGTGTCCTGTTTAAATGGATTATTGTTAAGTATTTGCCTATATATAGGCTTGAAGTTTTGAATAAAATGACTAAGTTCTCCAGCAAATTCTTTTCTCTTCTTACGTATTCTTTGTTTTTCTCCTTCTAAATTCTCTATCAGAAGAGTCAGTTTAATCCACCAAGAGTCAGTTTAATCCACCAACTATATATAGATTTAAAGACAAAACGTAAAATGAAACAATTCATCTTCTTATGGATGATGAATCAAACTGCAAATACGATTACAATGACAATCAACTGGATGAACAAGATGATAATCATCATATCTAAATATTTTTATAGTGTTTATGGCATTAACCTTTTGTTATTTCTGTGATCAAGTTATTTTAAGGAGTGTTCTCAGCCAAATGAGAAAAAAAGGAAGAAGCTCACTGGTAAACTAGAGTTATAGAGCCATCACATGTCAAATTTGCGTTCCAAAATAGGCGTACCTCAAATAATGGCATATAATACTTGTACTCCCTCTATTTGACAAGATTTGATGTTTTTAGTTTGAGTAGACTCCTTAAGAAAATTACTTACTCTAAGAAAGCAAAAAGTGTTCTTCATTACAAACATTTAATCAAATGTCTTAAAAAAAGTATCTCTTTAATGGTTTGTTGTTTATTTAAAATTCATTATTTTAATAAGGATAAATTTGGAAGAAAATTTTTGATTTGTTATTGATGGGTGAATAACTACATATCTTAAAAGAAACAAAAAAGATAAAAATAACTTATTTTGAAATGGAGGTGATAATTTTTCTTGTCTGCATTTATTAAAAATTTAATGTCGAACAATAATTTCAATGCTTGGTATAATTTCTTTTTGTCGTATGTCAAAGTATTTGAGACAATTATAATTTTGTTGACTACAATAACTGCATACGACAAAATATTTGAGACAGTTATAATTTTCTTGACTACAATAATTGCATTCACACTTGAGGGATCAGTTTTCTATGATTAATTAATATGTATTCACTTTTTTTTAATAATGTTGTTTGTTGTGAGTCAAGATTATTATTACTGTAATTAATTGGCTAAATCATTTAATTTGGAACTAGCTTACGAGTCCTTCTCTATCTTTTACTATTTTGTGCATTCAAACTATTATTCCCTTGGAGAACCAAAGTAAACGAGATGAGAAATCATCACTTATACTAACATGTTGCACTGTTTAAGGGTTTTGGATGATCAATGGACAGAATTATGAATTCGGCTAATAAGAATTCTTCAATGATCGAAAATGTTCCTTCCTCATCTGGACTCCCGTTTGGTCAGGTCAAAATTCTAGATTTTTTCTTATCTTTTTTTATAAAGTTTTCTATGTTCCATTTATATGTCCGTGAATCTGATGTATAATTTTTAGATATTTGTGTTGTTTCTAGTTTCTAGTCTAGAAAGAAACAACAAAGAGTTTCGCTTGATTTCTAGTTGATTAATCAGATTATCTTTGCTAAAATATCCTTGCTTTTAACCAAAAGTTTTTTTTTTGAATTCGCTAATCAGAATTCTTTGGTAACCGGAAATGATCTTGGGTTTGTTCCTTCTTCATCTAGACTCCAGCTTGGCTAGGTCATATTAAAAATATTTTTTTGGCATTTAAGGAGGTCTGATATCTAGCCCATGTTATTATCAAGGTTTGTTGTTAGATGGCTAAGATTCCTATGCTCTTGATTAAAATTTTGGTTTCGAGTCTTGAAAATTTTAAAATTTCTTATAGGAATTTTCTTTCTTGATATTTTAATTATATGTTACAAAGTTTTTACCATTTGTATATGTCAGTCAAGTAGCATGTTGGAAAGCCAGCTTAATCCACTTGCTATAGAGTCCGAGACAATATCGGAAAATGAGATAATGAAGCTGCTTACAGATGACGAAGCAAACAGCAAATCCGACTACAATGACAATAAATTTGATGAACAAGATGGTAACGATGATGATCATCCAAATAAGAAAATGCGCAATCATCGTCACACCAAGCAACATATCGAGGAAATGGAAGCGTAAAATATCTTATCCTATCTAAATACCATTTTTTTCTAAAGTGTTTATGTTATTAATCTTTTGTTATTTTTGTGATTAAGTTTGTTTAAGGAGTGTCCGAAGCCAAAT